CTACCTTCGCACTCCTCATTCAAACACTCCAAATTGTCCATATCGATCTTTTTGTATAGTGAATATTCGATTCCCATTTCAAATGCATGATCTACGTCAGTGGCTTCATTGCCACAGCACTGTCCATGATTGTGTGAATGGCCGTCGGGCATCCCAAATATGCTTCCCAATAGTTAATGACCAAAGTTGAGCATTTTTCTTTCGTAAACAAAGAGTAGAATAGAAATGGAAAAGTCGACTCTGACTATAATCACAAATCGACTTTTCGCTGATAAACACGACTTTTAGGAATCGACTTCAGTTACCTCACTGGCCGTCTCCACAGGAAAAAATTTATTGCTGCCCAACTGTCATTTTGGTCGCTAGATATAAGTTATATCAGTGGCAATATTTGTGTGCGCTTTTTTATATCTTCATAGAAGCATTTGTATGATAGCCTCGAAAACGTATTTTTGCCGGATTTAAACGCTTAAAAAATTTAAAAAATATGCTAATTTACAACCAAATACATAATTACAAATATTTTAACAGGAAACAGCTAAATTTTTGCTTTTATATTAAAATAATAATGATGTTGCAGCCACGAAGTTTTCGTGCAAATGAAAATGTAGCTGTCAAACTACCAAATTGCCGGCAATAGATGGTAAGATATAAGCTCTGATATATATTGCTCTCGAAGAGCAATGAGCGGTCTCCATTGGCAAATTATATTCTGACATATGTATCAAGATATAAACTTTATTCTGTGGAGACGGACAGTCAGATAGATAAGAATCGACTTCTGCTCGATGACTTTATAATTTGTTTACTAATTACACACTAGGGTTCTTCAGGATATTGTGGAAATGGTCTGGGATTTGGAGTTGGAATTTACTTTGCACTGTGAATTTACAAATGCAACGAATATGCAAATGCAAGTTCATATGCACAAGATGCTGAACAGTCCTGATATGTATTTGCCTGTGTACATGCCTCTTTTTACATATGAAAATGTAAAAATATCCCCCTTATTTTAGAACCCGAATTTACGTAATTCGTAATCGTAGCTACGCTACGAAACCCAGAAAAATCCACATGCTGCAACCACGTACAGCATTGCCAGCCATCAGTTGTTTTTCGAATACAGCTGAGTGAAGGAAAACAAAGTAGAAAGGAATTTTAAAAATAAAACACTCGTGAAGTTTTATTTATAGTAAAATTGTTAGATTTTACATATTTTGAAGGAAACGATGAATTCTATTTCATTTGCAATCATAGCAGCGGAGTAATACCGCACTATGGAAATGATTTCACAAAGATATGCGGAGCTGTCGGGCATAGTAGCCATGGACGCATCTATGATCTTCTGGTTGAATTGTTGAACCACAAGCCATAACTCCTCCTATGCCTGAAGAACTGGTTCTCAATCCAGTTAATGCAATAACAGCTTCTTCCAACCCATTGAAAATATGCACTTTGTTTGGTGCACCACCTGTTGCGCTTGCTTCTGCCTTCGGCCGCGCTTAGGGATTATAACCACAAAGCAGCGACCAAAGGAGGCGCCGTCAGTGCTACCGCTACTTTGGTTTTGCCGATTTTGACAGTTGTGGTAACTTGTAAATAAACCTTTGTTTACAAATCAGCGAAAAAGAAATTAGAATTATAAGTGAAAAATCATTTTAAATTGTGTTAATTTCCAATTTGTGAGTGATTTTTGAGTTAAAGACTGCGTAAAAACTAATACAATGAAGTGCTGTGTTAAATTGAGACAGCCGCCAAGATGCAAGAAGCGAAGGTGCAAGTGTAGCGCTGGGACGAATCGCTGCGTTTTGTGTACATAGGGCACGGCAATGCCGTTCCCGAAATGTTTCTCTATTATTATATTCACAGCATTTCCTCACAATGATTTTGTTTCTGCTCCATGCAGCCTCCATTAGCAAGTTAACTAATCAATCCCGCAGAGATGGTGCTGCAGTTTTCTGCAGCAGCCTTAATTGCAAAGCAATGGAGTGCACTAAAATGTTCACTGTTCTCTAATAGATTAGGTGAAAAATGCAATATTTTCGCATTTAGCAAAATTAAAACACGTTTTTCGCTGTAAAGTGAACTGCTTTGTCAGTTCCAACTCGTTCTTCTTTTCGCTCTATTCTTTGTTTACTTCTGGTACACAAATGTCGACGCCCAGGACGGCGCAATCTTGTATTCTATCATTCTTGGATTATAACCCCTTACTAATGCCTGAATTATAATGGAAGTAACGGAACGGAGTGAACTGTCGCTTAATTACCTATTGTATGGGCAATGAATTCGAACGATTATAATGCAATTGAACGCGACGTAAAACGGAAGCATCTAAAATCAATAGATCCTTACGAATTCGCCGCGATTTGTTACGATTCGCCCCGTGTATTATAACCAAGGTATAAGTAGAATTCTCCTTTCTGTGTTGCCGGAGAAGAGGGGGCTCTGCATGTCAAAGGTATACAACATTTCTTGTGTATGTCACTCCGGCTACGCCATCCACAGTATTTTTTTGAACTGCATAGTGTAAACCGAATTTATTAATAAGCTAGTGGTCGGAAATTTGAAACATTTATTTTAAATAAAAGTTTCATCCTTTGATTGCACTTGCATGTTAAAGTTTTTGGATTCGGGTTATGTGATCGGACACAACAACTGAAAATCCTTGCCAAGTAATTAAACCGGACCCAAGATTCTCGATAAGGGGCAACAAAGATTATTTTTTGCTTTTATATAAATAAAGAAGTGGATAAAAATATACGTATATGCGAAGGGCAAATTTGCCTGTTTAAATGAACACCACTAATATGTCCCGCAAACACACATCGATTAATATCTTTTGTCTCGCCTCCGACGCAGAACTGTTTTCGTACAAAATTACGCAAAAAAGCTTACTCGTTCGTTTTTAGGCATGCCATTGTTACGAATTTCGAAAGTTCGGAAATACGATTCCGATTGCAGCATACCATTTCTACGATTCGTAGCAAAATCCGAATACGAACGAGTTGCAAAATAGGGGTGATCATGTAAAGACAAATTAGATTTGCTTCTGTATAAAGCAGATGCACGTACATACGAAATAGAAATATTTCACTAGAAAAAAACTAAAAATAGGTATCGATAGAGCTTTTGTGCTGATTATAACGGTACTTAACACCCCTATTCTGGAACCCGAATTTTCGTAATTTATAATTCGTAGATACGTTACGGAAAACGAAAAATCGTCATGCTGCAACCCTTGCGGAAACCTGTGCAGCATTGCCAGCTATCAGTTGCTTTCCGAATACGGTTGTATGAAGGAAAACAAAATGGAAAGGAATTAAAAAAACATTCAAGTGCTTATTTATGGTAAAAATGTTTGATTTTACATATTTAAAGGGAACGATGGATTCTATTCCATTTGCAATTATATCAGCAGAGTAAGAACGCGCTATGGAAGTGAATTCACAAAGATATGCGGAGCTGTCGGGCATAATAACCATGGACGCATCTATGTCAGCTTCTGGTTTAATTGTTCAACCAAACCCTCCTAAGCCTGAAGAACTGGTTTTCAATTTAGATAATGCAATAACAGGTCTTCTGCATGTCAAAGGTACACAACACTTCTTGTGCATATCACTCCGGCTACGCCATCGACACTATTTTTGTGCACAATCCACGTCGAAATTTGCAAAAACCTGCATAGTGCATACTGAATTTATTAATAAGATAGTGCTCGGAAATTTTAAACATTTATTTTAAATAAAATTTTTATCGTTTGCTGGGTTGGAGCTGCTTCGGCCGATGGAGTAAAATACGAAATGCTTATATTTTTCCCTTGTCTCTCCTACGCGTTTCGACACTCTCGTGTCATCTTCAGGGAGTCTGTTTTATTTAAACAATAAACAATAAATATGAAGAACGAACGAAAACCATGATTAACAAAAACATAATAATAGTTGCATACATACATACATATATACACAACAATAGTTACATATGTACATGTATACTTAACACTAATTATATACACACATAATATCACTTGAAACTCACATTAAATATTGACATTAAATACATTAATTTGCACACATTGAAGGTAATAGAACATTTAGGAAGAATTATTGAAGTATTCTTATTTATGCTTTAATTTTAGTACGGCTGCATATGTGTTCTTCGTGTTGTCGACGTCTTCCTTAAAGTTGATTGCGTTGTCCAATTGTTATTGTATTCGTAGGCTCTCCAGTGTCATTCTCCTTCTTTCTCCTCTTTCGATGTCCAAAATTTCTGTGTTTTTGAAGTCCGCTATATGTTCGTGCGTTGTTAAGTGTTGAGCCAGTGCAGTTGTCATCTTTTTGTTTCTCGCGTGCGCTCTGTGTTCATTGATTCTTATACCCAACGTTCTTTTTGTTGTGCCTACGTAGCATTTATTGCAGCTTTCGTTATCATTGCCCTTGCACTTTATTTGGTACACTACATTGTGTTGTTGCTCCTTTTCAATCTTGTCTTTGGTTTTCGTCAACAATTTGTTGAGTGTGTTATGGGGCTTGTGTGCATATATCACATTCTCATTTTTTATTGTTTTTCGGAGTACCTGGTTATTTGTAAGTCCTGGTATGTATGTCACCCCAATGTATTTTTTGTTAGTGTTGTTTAGCTGTACTTCGGTGTTTTGGCTCGGTTGGCGAATTTGGTTTATTGTTGTTTGTAATAATCTTTCTATTAACGCGTGCCTGTAGCTGTTTCTGTACAAAATGTTTTTTATTTTCTTGTTGTTTTGCTCTGTAAATTCTTCGTCGCTGAGCAGATGGACTTTTCAAATAAGACTGGCAGCGGTGTTTATTTTTTGTTTCCATGGGTGATTGGAATGAAAATTTGGCTGACTTCCAAAACGTACCAATATAATGTTTGGATACTGT